TAGATAAAGTGATGCAAAATGAAAACCCTAAATAAACAAACTATTAATGACTGAATAAGAACCATTCTTACATCCTGAGACCCAAACTTTATTTTGGTATGCATTTTAAAATTCCCCGAGCTATTTTGGATCAATAGTACCTAATAAGTAAAAAAAAAAATTAAACACGGTCAACGATAATTACATCCCAGTATCCTTAAATGAGACAACAGTTAAGAACCAATGCCCTCAAACGAAACGATAATATAGTCCTAATGTCTTCAAACAAGTACTTCCTAATTAACAGTGTCTTGGTGTTACTGTTGTTAAAATTGGTCAAATTTGTTGCCAGACTGACGAAGTAGAGATGGCTGCCATCTTGTTTTTACATGGATTAGTGTATTGTGATCTTAAAACCACTAGATGGCACAAAAAAAGTATCCACGAATGAGGACAACAGGTCTGAGTTAAGTAGTGTGAAGTATATAGTCAAGTAAACCCAAAATGCGATGTCCTCATATGAGGACACAAAGTCTCAGGAGGCTAAAACAGGAAACTGCACTTTTACAGTATATTCCTCTGAACAGAAAAGAAGTCAAATCAGCCATAGATAGTAACTGTAGTTACAAGATATGCAAAGACACGCTTCTGCCAAAGACTGCAAATTAGTTTTGTGCTACTCTTCCTGTTGACGTTCATTTTATTTGATGGTGTTTGACTGATTGTTCTAATATACAGTGCAGATGAGCTACATATACAGTAAATCAACAGATTTAACTATGAGCTCCTTGTGGTAATTAAAAGATTTCTTATTCAAAGTGTTGGCGACATGTCACCCAGAGCTGCGCTGACTGAAAAATGTTTGCAGGCTTCTAAATCAATCACCCTCAGAAATCTCAGTGTAGTTAATATGCAAATGTAAATGCCATAAAGTATTTAACTGTTGCTAAATAATGTAAGCTACCTACTTAGTGAGTGTGTGGATATCTGGGAAATGGTGCCAGCTCAGTGAGCACAATAGAACAGGAGCAAAATACAAAATGTTGAATATGGTCTCGGCCACAGTTATGACAGTTATGACCAGACTGTGACAGGTTGTGTTACCTGATATTGAGATGCACATGATCAGCTATGTTATTTATTGTGTCACGCCAATACTTGTGCCTGGCCAACTGGATTTATGAGACACTGAGGTTCATTTGCCCCCTAAGTGCGGTTCATTTGGGCAGGTGTGAACACAGCAATTGCACTCGTGCGCACCGAAACAACCGGACTGAGACCCTCTTGAGGAGGTGGTCTCAGTCCGGTTACAACCAAACTCTGGTGCGTTTTTTATTGTACTGAGAACATGTTCCGACCTCTTTTCAAACCAACTGCAGTCACATGACACATTGTTTGGGTTAAACATGAGCATGTTACAGTCCTGGAGGATTATTAATATGCACCTCCTCCTGTACTGCCTTAATATGCACATTCGGCACCTCTAATGCATCAAGACATTGTTTTCTAGTTGGAGCCGTGCCTCATTTTCAAACTGTATGGTTTGACTAAAATGAACGCAAGCAATATAGTACCCCAGCACTAAAATGAACCTGGTGAAATATTTGTTAGGCAATAACATGACTTCTCACACAATGCAAACAAACACCTTTGTCTTCTCCATCCAGAAGAATTAATTAGAAAAAAAAAGGCATCTTATTGAAAAGGCAGCCTTGAAATCATTATATAATGAGCAATAAAACATTATGGACTTAGTATCACATAGAAAACAAAGCCTTTTCCACAGCAGATTATGTGTGGAGACATATTGCAACATGAAGCACCCCGCTGGTAAAACTAAAAAACTCAAAGTTCTATAAAACCCACTAATCTTACTACGTCATACAGGCTGTCAAGGCAAGCTCAGTGCTGAGCCGGAGTAACAACCCAGTGCTCAAGGCAGTCAATTAGAGCTGCATGATCAAATATGTCAAATGCCGCATAAGGTCCCAAGACAAAGCATGAACCATCTCCAGCATCTGCTGTTTGAAGGAGGTCAGCCGGGGCTTGCTGGGAAATTTCTCCAGAACGGTACCATTTAAGAGAAGAGCACTTCGTCTAAAATGGCTGCTGTAATACAGTGATATAAATGTCAGCTTTGCCTGCTGGTAAAAACTGCACTACAGTTGATTTTTTCCTTAACGTTATTTTAACTTTGTCCTAATGGCCACTACCTGCAAGACAAGCAGCTGCAAATCACATTAGTAATGATTTTTTAATGTGATCACATTAGCAATAATTGTCGAGCTGGAGTATTGCCCTTTCATTAAGTAAACAATATTGCCATATACAATTTTTTTTAATATTGTTCAGCTCAGTGAGTTATAGAAAAAGCATTGTAGAGTCAGTACTTGTCTGTACTTGAAAGAATGGGTTTTTTCCTGAAGTGGTCAAAGTGCTGCATGCATGACAGCAGAGTAAAATGTACCAGTGGAATACTATACATAGAAAATAAATAACAAGGACCAACAATGTCAAAATCATATGTAAGGAGGTTTGTAGGAGCAACATGAAGTGGACAGGTATACTGGTTTAAAATAGCTCTAGTCTGTCAGACTGTGGTCATAGAGAGTGGAAATATGAGAGGAAAAACAAGCAAGAGTTTGCTTTGGTTGGTTACAGAGAGATGGGCATTTTAAGTAATTTCCATATTCGAGTACTTGTACCAAATTATTATAAAGTACACGAGGACTGGCAAAACATATGTAATTTGGCCAACGCAGAAAACAACTGCAACTTGTTGCAACCAGGCTTCAATTGAGCTATTAATCCTTGAATTTAAAATTAACATAATAAGAATATGCAAACTTTCTGTTGCTGCTGTTACTCAGGTGAGACGCAGCACTGAAGAATCGTCTCTGAGCTGCTCTTGTCCCTGTCAGCTCAACGTCTGCCCAGTTAGCAGCCAACACAGCAGCAGTAGCTAACATCAGACACCAAACTGTTGAACAGTCCTGCTTGACTCTGTTGTTACCCGTTAATAAAATAGATGTGTGATAATAACTAGATACCGAGCCCAGAGATGGCGCCTCTTCATTCCAATAGAACTACTCACTTAACACATACGCTAAAAAAGTGTCTAGCTTCTGGTTTTATTTCTGGGGTAAACGGCCCACTGAATATCTGCAGTAGTGTTTCTCTCGTTAGCCGCACCTGTGAGTTCCCTGGAGGGCTGGTTGATAACTGTTAGGTAACATTAGCTATGTGATGCTAACATTTAGCCCTGTCACTGTGTGTTCATGTGTGCGCGGGCGGACTCTCACCAACTGTCCAGAGAATTTGCATTTCCTAGGATAGTGAAGATGTGACCTGACCTGCCCTACTCTGCCTCACTGCCTCTGATTGGCCCATTCTTACCCTAACCAGTCTTACTACTCTTGCCTTACCCTGACAAATCCAGTGAACACAGGCACTAAGTCGGGGTGATATGGCCCTAAAATAATACCACAATATTTCAGAGTATTTTTGCGATAACGATTCTTGACAATATGACAAATCAGTAAAAATAACACAGTTTGCCTTCAAATATTCAGTAAAAACTGAACAAAAATGATCTCTCATTTCTTTAGTTTGTGAACAACAACAGTAACTCAGAGTGAGATTCAGATCCTGTATACAATATTAATATTGCCACTGATTAACTATTTAAACAGCTCAAATCATCAAACTGTAACCTGTGACAGGCTGTTATGCTAAAATAACTATCATACATTCACACGTCATCGCGTCGGTTTACATTACCACAGGTTTATGACAAAATCACTTGACGAGTCATGACACCGACTCTCGTGTGCGAACGGCGAGAGAGGAGAGGGAGAGAGGCTGTGCTGCTGCCAGAGGAGCCGCTGAATGAGTTCCCTCTGAGCGGTAAGTCGCTAAAAGAGTCTGAGAAGTCTGGGGCTGTTCATAAGACATTCAGGATGGCACAGTTTATTCCACACTACTGAAGCCGCTCCTCCTTTTGGGAACCACCGCAGAGTCGTTAATATTTTGCTTTCAGCCATGCTTGTTGTTGCCATGGGAAACCGTATGATGTCATTATGTCAACAAGTCAAGTATCACAGTATTAATTTTTCACAACATATTAAAAACTGTACAAGTATTATCATGAATGAAATGATATGGCACACCCCTAGCAACAAATCCTAGCCAGTCAGAGAGAGTAAGTCTGATCATGTCTTCTCTATCCTAGGAAACATAAATTTACGATTACGCTATGGAGCTCACACTCCTGCAGCAGTAGTATCATGATAAACAGACAGACAGTGACAGTGACAGTTTCAATAGAATAAACATTAATAAATAGACAAGTCATGTTCACATGTTTGAGGTTGGACAGTGATCACTTTATTGATTGAGTGAATACTTACATCCAAATAGAGCACTCTAGTACCGAATGCCCATCCCTAGTTGGTCGGTAACCATGCTGTCTGCTCATCTCCTGACTGAGTTACTGCTTAATTTTGAGAAGAACTTGATCTTTTTGCTTCAAATATATTATTGAAATTACGGTTTTTGTTTGTTTTCATAATTAGCTAGACCTAATAGACTCAATTATCTAACATTAGTTTAAAAAAAAAATCAGTATTACTGTGCTATAATTAAGTTTCCCCTGAGCAAAACTAGATACAGCAAAAATAATGAAAGAAGTCAAGAATGATAGGACGTCAAAATACCAAATGTATCTATTGAAAATAAAGAAACTCTCTGAGTCAGAATGGAAATGAAGGGGAGGGGAAACACTGCTAGTGGAAACAATGAAGAAAGATTGTTAACTTGTGAAATGTGTGTGGTACCCAAGCTGAAATTAAAACCTATTATTCTGCAAAGAAGCTCCACATGCTGCACAATCCAACATGACAAATGCTCTCTGAGTAATTCTAAAAAACAAACAAGTGAAGTGAATACTGATAACCTGGTAAGATGTGATGACTCATAGTGATGGTTGGAGTGAGGAGCAAGGAGGGAAGAAACATACTCACCATGTCTGTATCCGACACTGGCCCAAAACTCGTCACAAAGATGTTTGTCCTCACTTCTGTCACAGTCTCTGAGGATAGGGACAACAAGGACCAGAAAACATTACAGCGAAGCCTGTGTACAAAAAGCTTTTCTGCAGCTCTGTCTTTGTTAAGCTGATTGTTTGTGTACATGACGGTGAAGTCTGCCTGTTGGCATTTAACTAAGCCGCTTCACACAAAAATTCAGCTGTAATCAAGGGTTAGAGGAATACTTTAAACTGAGGAAAAACTAGATTTATGCACGCTTGGTGGAGAATTTGTGGCGATGTTGCACAGCTTGTTTTCTTACTGTCTTTGTGCATCAAAACCATGTCAACTTTGTTGTGCCACAGAAGGCAGGTTTAAGAACATAATGCTGGACCAATAGTATTAGACATCTCCTAAAATATACACTCTAGCATTGCTCGACAGCATTGGTAATACTCCAAAGTGTCTGACCCAGGAGGGTTTCTTCAACCTCAATTTAGGGGCAAAAATGTTGCTGTGAGCAACTTCACAGATGCTTCTGAAAGTCTTTAGTTCAGTAAAACTGCCATTTGTTTGGCTCCAGCTCATTTTGTCCACTACAGCATAAAATCTGCTTTGGGCCAGGCCCAAGTCTGCATCTTTGGAGAGACGATATCCCTTTTGACCCAAAATAATTTTAGTTAGCCTGCCCCAAAAACATTTAACAGTCCCTAAGGGACTACTGCGGCTCAGGAATAATATGCAGCAGTCAGCGTTAAGGATGCGGCTGTGTGTGTGTTTTTTGTTCAAGTAATGGGCACACTTTGCTGCTATTACACATTTCTATGCACATATTATAATCACATTAGGCATGATGAAGGCTTTTGTCGTATGAATCTGCCATGACTGTTACAAGGCTCGTCTGCTCTGCATGTTCCTAGGGCCAATGCAGTTCTTTAAGTACAATTAAATGTATCATTGTACATTACTAGAATAAAATAGAATATCTTTGTTGTCATTGTACGAGTTTCACTTTGCAACTCCTACAAATAGAGGAGGAGGACAAATATACATTATTGAAAAGGAACGTGTCTCCTGCGTCCCCCTTGAAATCTATGCCCATGTTTCGAGGGAGGATAGGGGATCTTTATGGGAAGATAGCAGGTCAACAGTATATGCCACATAGAAGTGATACACATCATCTGAAATCAGGGAACCTGAAGATTAATTTGAGATACAGCTCAGCATGGTGTGTCAAGTTTTTCTAGTCACAAATCTGTAATAAACATTGTATTTTGGTTAGGTGCCCATTTAAATTTTTAAAGTTAAAAAAGGTGTTTAGAGGCTTTGAACATTATGATGGCTGATTCCATTCTTGATTATGTCTCAGAAGTGGTTGCAGCCATTTTGGGGTTGATACCATTTGTTACACAGATTTAGTGCCATTTTTGACTACTTGTTACTTGATAAAAAAAAATCAAAAAGCCCTCCACAACACCACATTGAGACATTAAGACCTTGAGGAACAGCACAGAAAAATCCATGCTGTGATTTTTGTTATTTGGAGACTTCTGTAAGAACTGCATTTATGGGTGATTGGATGGCGAGCACATCTGTTCTGGAAACTACTGAGAAACCTTTTTATTATCAGTAGATCTGTGAAAGCCACACATCCTCTGAATGTGGTTGTTAAGTTTTATGAGGCTGTGATTATCACTGTAATACAATGAAACAGGGTTCCCTCGGTCATGAAAAACCTGGAAAAGTATCGGCAAAAATCATTCAAAATTTTGGAAAAGTCATGGAAATTTGTTGTTTGGAATGAAATTGTTACAGTTATCTTCTGTGGATAACCTTTAACATAATATAACATAACTACAAACTTGTTTTCTGCAGCTGTCGACATAACAAAGCCCTAATATGCACCGATGAGTGACAATGTTTTGATGAGCATTATGTACATTACTTTCTCCCTGCATTCCGTCTCTCCCTCCATGTATGGCAGCGAGAGGGAATTATGAAATGTCATGGAAAATGTGTAGGAACCCTGATGAATGGCTACTCTGGGGACCAAAACCATCATACATGAATAAAATTGGGCTCACTGAATCCGCAAGAGCCTCAGCTTTCCAGTTATACCCAATTTATGCAATTCCAAGACTGTTTAGGGACCCCAGATTGCATTTATATTCAAATACAATTAGGTGAAAATAACATGTACTGCAAGAAAGGCTGCATGGCTTTTGCCCCAAACTGTATGGGATTAGCATGAAGTGGGCATATTTGTAAAGGGGAGACTCATAGGTGCCATTAGAACCCATTTTTTGTTAGATATCTTGAGATGAGAGGTCAAGGGACCCCTGTGATGCCAGTTTTACCGTCGCCAAAATTTGGCCCAACCCTTTCCAACAAGTATGATATGGTTGGTACCAATGGATTTCATAGGTCCTATAGGTTCACATGATTTTACACGATTCACGATTTTAAGGTTCTTTTATGAGTTTTTAAATGTCTTAACTGTCTTGGGCCATCTTATTTATCTGACCTGCTTTTATCATATCAACCCTCGTGGATCCTGAGGTCCACCGGCACCGGCCTTTTAACTGTTCCAAAAGTGAGAACAAAAACCCATGGGGAGGCTGCATTCAGCCATTATGGCCCTCACTTATGGAACAGCCTGCCGGAGATCATCAGGACTGCAGAGACTTTTGATGTTTTTAAAAGGAGGCTCAAGACTCACCTTTTTAATTTAGTTTTTAACTGATTTCTTTTACTCTTTTAATTCTTCTATTATATGTTATTTTAATTTCTAATGCTTTTAAATGATTTATTTTTAATCTTTATGCATTTCATTATTATTAAGTTTCTAAATCTTTATTTATTTAACATTATTTTATCTCATACTTGTTTTATCTTATCATATTGCCTTTTAGTCTTTTAGTTTTTAGCTCCAGTGTTTCCTCATGGTGGGCCTCCACACTGAGAGGTGTGCCCGGTCTGCCCGCGGGGATGTCGTCCTGGAGATCCCTCAGGTCCTGAGTACTGGGAGGCTCTGCACCATGTGTGGAGTCCACCCTAGTCTATCTGGGTCAGGGTGGTCTCTGTGGCGGTGCTACCTGTGGCCGTAGGCTGTGAAACCTCTCAGTGTGGATGAGCTCCCTATAGGTGGTTCTTTCCTCACCTGATTCCTCAGTGCCCAGCCATGTTATTGACTGTGTGTGTGTGTGTGTGTGTGTGTGGGTTCAATATGTATGTAATATTTTTGTTGTATGTTTTTATTCTGTGAAGCACTTTGTGCTGCATTTTTAAGGTATGAAAAGTGCTATACAAATAAAGTTTGATTGATTGATTGACATGATACTAATACCTTTACTTTAAAAGCTTTAAAACTGAGCTTGCTATAGCCTCTGAAGAACAGTACTGTTGGCTGAAGATGCCAGCGTCCCTACGGACCGGAGGAGGTTAGAATAGTTCGAATAACTCAGCTGTGCAATGCAGGCTCCATTATTGCTTTTGTTCTGTCAAAATGATTAATGAATTATGCTTGATAGTGTAACAATGATCCAATTGATCATTACACAGTAAATTAGCCAGGTCTTCTAAATGTGATATTAATTACAAGCAGTGGAATGTTTCCAAATACTTCACAAATTATTTGAATATAAGCACGAAGTAGGGTATGATATGAAAGTCGTGACAGATCAAAATTTTCCCTCCTCAGTGAGGGCTGAATCAGCTCCTCTGGGCCAAATGTGTAAAGCAGGCTTTTGGGCCACTGGTGAGACAAATAGCTGCTCCCAGTGGTGCAACAACTAGAGAGTGATGAGGCTTTTCTCCAAAAGTGAATAGATCCTCGGCTCTAACTGCGTCCCAGATCTAACCGACCACCCACAGGTGAAGTCTCCAATCGTCTGGCAAAGGGCCCCCTTGAGAATGGAGATCCACTTCCACATTAATCATTCCAGTGACACAAATAGCTCTCACAAATACGTGATTATCACAACACCCAGTCAGCAGTTTGCATGGCGGGGGAGCAGGATGAGTCGCCCTGTTTCTGTTTACAACAATGCACTGGAGCATAGGGCAGAGCTAATAGATGCAGCTGAAAATGAAATTAAATGGTTTTTCTCCAGTTTCCGTCCAGTCTGTTTGTCTGCGATGGTCCCATGTGACTGACTCTCACTAGGACTGTGGGTGGTGGGGTACGGGGGTGGCCGACAGGAGGAAGATTGGTAGCCTTGTTCAGATACATGTAGAAGCTGCTGACTTTGACTGAGTGTTCTGGCCATGAGGAGGGCCCCATCTGGTGTGTCTGCAGGTTTGCAAGTTGGACTATTGAAGTCCAAAATCTAAACCATTAGCAGGGGTCTCTCAATCCTTTTAGTGAAATAAAATCTGCAGAATAATAACCAACATCTTGTAATTTCACAATATATTTTGATAAACAAGATGAATATAGATCCATCTGCGCACAAAATGACTGCTACCAGGCTGTCTTGCTACTCCAGGGAATTGTGAATGTAATATCAACTAGATTTGGTACTATCCACAGTGTTTTGGGTATTGCTTGCATTGCAGACAGACACAACAGTGTCTCGGTTTGCTTGTGTCTGCAGTAAGAGAGATACAATAAGTGTTCTGCAGTACGCTGGCACCCTGATTGCAGAAGTCAACACTAATATAGAAACTAGATAATAATTTATCATATGTTTTTTAATGAAGTGAAAGGCAAGAAGAAGAAATAAATTAGTTAAATGTGACTATTTTGCTGCCTAATGAATCCAACTTGGAAAAATCTAATAGGAGTACAATGTAAGTCTTTAGAAAATATTTTGTATAGTCTAGAAGTCGACTGATTTATCAATTTGGCCAACTAATTTGTGCTAATAGGACTTTTTACAAACTATTTTTATCTGCGGAACTTGGCTTCAATAGTGGCCAATTGCTGTGCAGCCTCCTTCCAAAATATTAGAAAATACAAGACACAGGCCATGCTGTTATGTGGTTGCCCTTGTGTTTCCACAGGCCTGTCTTGCCTGTGTTAGCCTCTTGGGCCTGGTGGGAAAAGCCTGCTATATTTCACTGCACCACACAGGCCTGTAGAGTCAGTCACTGCACTACAAAAGGAAGCCATCATCACTGTGAGCCCTGAGTGCCGCAGGCCTCAACATCTCCTTGCCCTTGGAGATATGAACCCCGGAGCAGAGGCAGAATATAACATTAACGTCTTGTGCCTGGTTCCTCTCTCTGGTTGCTGTCATGGAGTCCAGGTCATCCAGCCTGGTGGGTCTACAGCCTGATAGCCACGCTCGTGGCTTCAGCAGCATGCAGTAGAGCAGAAATGACCATTCCAGCTGGCTGGCTGAGAAATGGCAAAGCCTGCTTGAGCATGTGGACTCGCTGTGATTCAGTTAGTTGTCCTCGGGGTGTGAATATTTGGATGAAATGGCATCAATTAGAGGGATTTCCACTGACATGTGCTTATTTGCCATTTGGGCGTGATTGAACAAAGACTTCTACCCTGGGGAAAGCAGATTTTCTGCAGAAAGTGACCTGACTTCAGTGTGATCCTGGTGTTAGTGCGCCGCCTGCATCAGTTAGCATGTCTCCTAGTGCCCACTAGCAGCAGATTTATATAGCTGCTATAGGAGACAGAGTGCTATGCGCCATACTCTGAAAACCATCCACCAGAGGAAAACAATCGGCGCCACACTATGCAACTATGCAAACAAAAGTCATGTAACTAGCTAAAACAAAACTAGATTTCTGTATATCAAAGGATTACTTTAGTACTCTATATCTACCAGAGAAGAAAGATACACTGACAAACTGTATACCTTGTATATCAGCTAAACAGCCAGAGGTGAAACACGTTAATATTAACAACTATTTGATCGAATCACCAGGTGAGAATATCTTTTAACCAAACAAAGATCAAAACCTGGCTTTGCATAGTTTAGTTAGCTTCAACCTCGACAGATTGTGTGGCCTAATAAACGTCTCCACTGAGCAGTTCGGTACGGTTCAGTGCTGTATGCATTTTTTCCATTTCCATTTTGAAAAGTTGTGGATGGTACCAATGGAACCGTTCTGTACTGCCCCCATTTTTGGTCCCCCCCTCTGTTGGGGTACCTAGCACACAGATCTGGTACTAAAAGGTGGAGCTGTGAACACTGCAGTCTGTTGATGGGTAAATATCGGACGGTCACTCTTGATGATGGCTGGTTTTGAAGCTTTTGCAACTTCTGTTCATACTGTGGCTTTTACAAATTTTTACATATATTACTAAACTATAACTATAAATGAAAGGATGTTTTGCTGCCTCTTGCAGCAGCTGGAGTCTGAGAAAAAAGAACTTCATTCACTGGGCCGACTGCTGGCGACTTTTAAGGTGGAACGTTTACTTGTAATGTTACTCAATGCATGATGTGACAACGTGTATCCATCAGCACACCTTAAATTTCAATGTGACAACTTTAAACATAAACATATATTCATTTTAAATGGATTATGTGAGCTGCATATATCCCAATCCTCCCTCGGAGAAAAAAAGGCATTGCGGAGCATTGTTCCTGTGGGCTCTGGCAGCACTAAACCCCTGAGCTTGCCATGGAAGGACTAAATGCACAAACCCCCCATTTTTAAATACCCCATGGAGAAAGACTCTCACTGCAGCCTGTTCTATTATGTTCTGAAAATGTCGGTGTGCAACCCTGTTTTGTGGACGATGACGGAGCAGTGAGTGACAACAACCCCGCCCACATTTAAAAGTACTGTTTACAGTGGAAACCCTACGGTCTAGGTACCATGTCTGAAGGTTACTGTTGGTTCCAATGGTACCATACCGAAAGTGTTTGGTGGAAACACGGCTTAACTTACAACTGAGTGTCAGGATCCACAGTTTTTCCATTCTTCCTATAGACGCCACACATCTTATTGCTTGTATCCACTTTTGTTTTCTTGAAAGCTCAGTGTTTTTGGTTTGGCAGCTTAGAAAGTCTTAATTATGGGTTCTTACCCTGTTGGCAGTGCGTCCCACCACACAGCAGCTTTGAGGCATTTTTCTGTTTGCCAGCAGACAGAACTGACAAGGAGGCACCTTCACCCAATATAGAGTCAAAGAGAGCGTTGAGTTGTTTTCCCCTGTAGTGTGGGACTTGTGACTTATTTGCGCCCTGTCCCCATGACAGGTTTATAGCGAGCAAGTGAGTGGCTTTCTAGATCCATGAAGTTCAAAAACAACCACTGGAAATAACCATTTTAGCACAGAGTTAAAAAAAAACTAATACAGTGTTTGGTAATTATTACATCTACAAGCAAATTATACAGTAATCCTGTTGTTACATCAACCAGTCGGTCTAGAGCAGGGGTGTCAAACTCATTTTAGTTCATGGGCCACATACAGCCCAAATTGATCTCAGATGGGCCGGAGCAATAAAACCATCATACAATAACTTAGTATCATCAGCTCCAATATTTTCCCTTTTTTGTGTAAAGAATTACAAGTAGATTCTGTAGACGTTCATCCTTTTACAAAACAGATGAACAGCCTGAGATATCTTCAGTGATCGAAAGTGTTACATCATAGGCAACTGGACTTGCTTGCGTTCTTGAAGACGTTTCTCCTCTCATCCAAGAAGCTTCTTCAGTTCTAAATGACTGGTACAAAGTTGCAGGCTATAAACCCTGTGTGGGTGGGAACCCATGCAGAGTCGTAGAGGTCACACGTGACCTCTTAGTTTCAGGGTCGTTAAGGTCACAATGTGAGTCGTTAGGGTCAGGTGGGAGACTGCAAACGTCTTCAAGAAATGCAAGCAAATCCAGTTACCTACCATATAGCACTTACAATTACCATGAGCTGGATGACTGAGAATCTTCACCATCACCATCATCAGTGCAATTTTAGCAGTATGTCTCAGTTTTTCCACATTCAGTCAGTCTACTTCTCACTGTCATTACATGTGCATTTATCCAAACATTTCCTGATACAGATTATTTTGAAGTGAAGCTGCTGATTGACAATATTTTGCAAAATGTTCAATATCTTTAAACATGGTCACAGTAAGTATTGATTGTTATATCAGAGAACTGTATTCTGGTCAGGGCGGAAATGCCTCTGAAGCAGACTTTTACAGGAAGTAGGTAATGCATTGTTTAACTTGCTCCTGAAACCTGGCACCTCTGTGTCTAAACATCTAGTGGGACGGACTGGACCCTTTGGCAGGCCGGTTCTGGCCCACGGGCCGTATGTCTGACACCCCTGGTCTAGAGAATTAGCTGTTGGCTGCATAGAAAAGTCAGATGTTCTTCTTTTACCAAAACCAAAATTAGGAACTACTCTATCCATTAAATCATCCGGAAATACCTAATGATCCGTTTGGTGAATAAAAGTCCTGTATGGTGCAGATTAAAGTGCTTAGAAATGTACATCAAACATATAATAATTGATGTCTTTATAATGTGACTGAAAATGTCACTGATGCACATTTTCATGTGTCCCAATCATCTATATTCTTTAGTTTCAATCATTAAAACACAGTGATCTGTATAACATATAGTGTTGCTTACCTCCCAGCCCAGGACGTAGCCTGTTGTCATATCCATCCAGCAGCCTGTCTAGGATTCGGGTGAAAATGGTGATATTGTCTTTGCTATCATCAGGCAGCGGCTCTCTGTGCCCGACTACTGCCCTGCAGGAAGAAATGGAGACAGGAAGGTGAAGTCAAAAGATGGAAATCATATAAAATGCAATAAAAGTTTAATGTAAAAACTGATATATTGTTCCACTGAAGCACTGAGACTGACATCCATTCAGTGGCCAGTGCTGTGAAAGCCTGCTGTTTGTTTGCATCAGCCAGTGCAAGGTTTTGCAGTAACTATAGAGGTTTAAATGTCTTGACTCTCCACCACACAAATAGATCTGTTATTGATTTATTAGTTAAAACATTACTTGTACTAAATGTTGGTGTTAATTAATAATATGGGAATTAGTTATTTTGCATTGTGACCATGATCAAAATTTTACTTTAATTGGAAATATAAACTACTTGTGATGCAGAATTCCTTAATTGCAATCCAATACTGTAAATGTGACCTGTTTCTGTTGAGAAATTGTCTAATTTCACCTGCTTGTTTCTATATATTTCTCTCACAGTCATAATCTCATGCAAGCAATCAGCCTCTGGCTTTAATCAATATTTGGATAACAGCGTCTGGTTTTGTTTGTTTTGTTCCATTCATCTTTACAGGCTGGAACCTCCATATTTACACACAAAAAAAAATATGCTAATGAATTCTTTCCCAAGAAGGAAATACTCTGCAGCGTTTTGTTGGAAAATTCATCATACGCTATCAGCCACTGGTTATTAATTTACATGGCCCACAATCCCCGGCAGAACAATATTGTGGTGAGATGAAAAGGCCACTATACTGTAGGTGGAACACTGATGAGTTAATGAGTAGCGTCTTTAATTAAACTTAAATCCCCCGGGGAGCTGACCTATAATATCCAAGTAATCCCCATCAACAACCGGTCCTGATGTGCTATCACCGACACAGCATTGTGCTGCTCTGTAAAGACGAGAGCTTTAAAGAATTTAGTGCTTGAAGAGAAACCCAAATTTTCCCTGAGTGTTGCTTAAAGCAAATCTGTCTTCGCTAGGCCTCTTAGAAGGGCTTTCTGTAGCTTAATCTGTTCTGTAATAACAACTCAACATAATTTGAGCTACAGCGCCATTAAAACACAAACTGGGTGAAGGTCACTACTTAAAATGTATGGGATTGTAATTACTATCACTTTGGGGTGTTTGAGGGTTCAAAATGACATTCTTGCAAGCTCTGAGCGGCACACATAATTTTTAGGCATTTGGGCCAATTGCTTCAGCCTAGCTGAGTGGTTATTAGGCATATGTGGGCAATAAATAAAATATCAATTAAGCATCACGGCTCCCTCATGTTCCAGTGATCAGATTTATTTTGTAATGCTCCCCATGATGCACAGTTTATTAAAGCAGGACAGGAAGATTTGTGGGGCACCAAAACTCAAAGAAAAAGGTACAGTTTTATGTGAGGGATGAAGAAGGGAGCACAACTATTGCCGGTTTCGCATTATAAAGTTTAAATGGAGCATTACCACTCCAGTTAGGTAATTCTTCTGTCCCAGTAGTACTGATAACATTTTGTTATTTGCATGTTCGCTATTTAAAGTTACTCACCTTCAGATTTTCATGAACTCAAACTCCATTTTACTTTTTATGGCTGACGTTTTTTCCCGCAATAGTCATTTAATGTATTCACATTTAGTAGTTACAGCTCTATCAAATAGCTTTTATAGTCAGTGGCGGAGTCCGCCATTCTTGTGCTGGTTTTAGATTGCCTTAACATGTATGAGGAACTCAAAGGAAATGAGGCATACGTGTAATCTAACGTAATCTTTTCTCACTGAAATCAGCCTCACTGTTTAATGTTAGATTTTCAGGGCCTCAGAATTGCATTAAATTCCCGTTGATGCCAATAAAACACTTCCTGCTGCTTCTCGATTAAAGCATTTAGTGAAACACAATTGTGAAGCAGGCACAGGAAACACATTTTTTTGTTTTTATGAACAGTCATTTTTAACAGTTTTGACTGTAAGCAGTTTTAAACTAACATAGTTTTAAAATAAATATATGGAGTAATGGAAGAAGAAGGGAGCTGAATGAACTGTTACATAAAGAGCTGCAGGCAACAGGCTGCACACCTCCACCTTCTCAGTAAAGTAGCCAGTTTAACTGTTTCCAGCTGTGGTTTAAAAGACTACTGTGTGCAGCATAAAACCAGATCACCTTTGTAATGATTTTTTAACGGCATCCTTATTAAAACACGATTTTTGGTTCCACCAGTTGCTTTTCTGTTGTATTTCAGACAAAGAAGCTGCGCAAGACGTGTTTTCTAAAGTATTAAACCAGGCTAGCTGGTTGGTAACCACAAGGGGATTCAACCAGGATTGAACTCTTTAGCTGAAAACACACCGGTGTGGTGCGGAGCAAATGATCGATGACCACACACAGTTATTACTACTTTTACTGGAAGATCCGTACTTCTTCACCTCTTTGTTAGCTTAAAATCAGGTGTGGAGAGCTCCTTATTAAACTTGATATCTCACCTGAAGAGCCAATCTCCAGAGCTCTGACTCACCAGGTAATATCTTTTTGGCCATTGCCTTTATAATGACAGGACTGTGAATCGTTTAGCTGAAGATATTTCTTGACCTCAACGAGTCTCTTGTCATCCATTTGTGGGGGAAAATATGTATTTTAATCCGGGGGTGGTGAGTCTGGAAATGGGACTGTGGTGTAAAGTTTCGTGGGGTGGCGTGTCCAGGAGTCCCGAGGCACATGTAGCCACTGCAGGAGTAGGGTTGTACATTGAAAATAATAGGGGCATGTCATTTGATGTGCTGTGTTTGCTACCAGTGTGTTTTGGCCTTGAAGGTCTCTGTGAAATGAAAGTTAGAGGTAGTTTAGCTTCTGTACTGTGATGTAGTCGGTATTTGATCAATGTACAGTTTCAAGAAGGCTTTAAATCAAATCCTTCCCATTTAATTGTACTGCTAAAAGTGGGCCATCTTAGGGTTCAGCACAATATGGTGTTATAGCGGCCTGTTTGCCTACACGTATACACAGTAGTCGGGCCGAAATCATGAACTGGAGGTGTAAAACATTTAATGTGTAAGGTAACAACATGGTGAAATCTGCATCCAGAGCCATGCCTTTTTTTTGAAGAGACGAATGTAGAGAGCTGTAAAGTTCTCCAGTATTGTACCAGTTTGCTGCTAGCTAACCGTAGCTAACTTGTTTGTCGATTGTTTGGTCTGTGACGTAATAGGTCAACAGAAATAAGGTCCAGTACAAACAAGCTATAAGGGGTGCATATTGCCATCTATCATAGCTGAGTCGGACATACTTTGGTCAATAAATCGATTGCCCTCCCGTGCTTGTATACTAGCGTATACATACCGTAGCTTGACTTCACTGTGTTTGTAAACATACTGCATGTAGCGTTAGATGAGGGCCTGTAACCACGGTATTTTGGGGAAATATGACACACCGACGTAGCATGTTGCTAGCTAGGTAACTTAATCTTAGCTCTGTGCTGCTAAGAGTCCCATTGATTGATGGGTGGATGTCATGCTGTTGTTGGGGCAACTGTGGCTCAGAGGTAGAGGGGGTCGTAAACTAATCAGAAGGTTGGCAGTTTGATCCCCGGCTCCTCCGGTCTGCATGTCGAAGAATCCCTGGGCGAGATACTGAGCCCCAAATTGCTCCCGATGGCTGTTCCATCGATGTGTGAGTGTGTGTGAATGGTAACTGAGTAGCAGGTGGCACCTTTTATGGTAGCCTCGGCCACCAGTGTGTGACCTTGTGTGTGAATGGATTAACGTGGAATGTATTGCAAAAGCACTTTGAGTGGTCAAGACTAGAAAAGCACCATACAAGTGCAGTCTTTTTACCATTTAACCATTTGAAACTAGCGGGTACTAGCTTACGTTAGCACAGGTTATATTTTGTTTTACAAAAGGAAAACATGATTTTGGTATGAGAATATGGAGAAACTGATTCTTTGTGGGTTTTTTTTGGCATATATTGTTAAAAAAGTGCACGAAATATTCAGCAATGTAATCTAAAAGGGTCAAAATGGATTTTTTTAAATTTCATCTGTATTTAAGAATTACAACTTTATGAAGAAAGTACTAATGATAAGCCAGATGACGTCAGATATTTGAGGCTCGATATCTCCACTGAGACTGAGCCTTTTAACACTAGGTTCACGATTTGCACCTCACTGAATGGGGCACAGCTTGATATATTCTGCTTGTCAAATGGGTACCTAAGTGCATAATTAAGCTCTGCCAAAAATATGTTAAATTATGACAGTGAAGCAGTGTACTCATAAATATTTGAAAGAAATATACATTTCTGCCTTTTCATTCACAAACCTTATCGAAAAGTGACAGGCATGCATGTTTGAGGCGGCTCAGACACAGAAAACAGCCAACACAAAAAGCCTCAGAAATGGCTCGGACGAGTTTAACTGCAATATGTAATATCTCACTTAACATGAATCATATATCAAACAAAAAGCCTCTGTGGCCTCTCAGACAGCACCAGTGGAAACTCAAAAATTAATGAGAAACCTTAGTCCCTGTGAAACCATTCGAACAATGTCTGCTCCACACTAAAATATCCACTCCAGAAAAAAAGGTACTTGTGCGGTGTGTAGCATCTGTGTGCTTTACTGAGGCACACACACACTCTCTCTGACACACATACTCACACACGCACACATGCTAACGTCTTCCAGTATGAGCCAGCTGTCTAAATTCCCCGATGAGGGCAAGGAAATGGGACGTTCCCTCTGAATTTGACATCATTTTTGTTAAAACACACAGGTTTTATAATCACGCTAGCCGCTTGTTTTACTCCCTCAGTCCCCCTCATTGTTCACACGGTGTTGATACGAGCATGTAAGTGCCCTAAGAGGAGAAGAAAGGACAGAACAGTCATTATATTCCCGAACTATTCGCACATAAAGAAGAAAAATCTTTAAAGAGAACAAACTGTGCGTCAGCGATCCACTTTGTTGAATGTTTGTCTGAATTTTGCCTGAAGGAGAACAAGTTGCATAAGGAGCACAGAAGGTAAATGTACTG